AAACCTAGGACCCATAGATTCAAGACTTGCCATGGCCACACAGCTAGTTGGTGTCAGAGCTGGATCTACACCTCAGGACTTGTGACTCCAAGCCCATAGCTCACACATACCAGTGTTAAGTTCTTTTCCTACAATTGCATGCCCCTCATTGGTATTATACACATTGAATCATAGTTTCATTAACAGATGGGTTATGGCATGCACATATTTGCATTTTACCAAATTTATGGAGTTAAAAACTAGGAAAGATAAATCTATCATTCTTACAATGCTAAGCAGAAGCCTCCAGGTCCTTCCTCTTTGACTTTGGATATAAAGCTTTCTCAGGGCTAAGGGCTATCTGCAATACCCTGCACCTTTCTGCAGAGAAACACTGTGATGAGGGAGAATCATGAGAGGGTGGCCTTGGCTCTGAATTGTGGTTCACTCACTCACTAGCAGGATTGGCCTTGGACATGTCATTTAATCTCTCTTGAGTTTTAGACTTTTTTTATTTGTAAAACTGGGGAAAAAAATAGCTATTTTTCAGTCATTTAGGAGTGTTACACCATGATTGTATATAAAGAACCCAATACAATACTCAGAATTACTAACTGTCCTTCTCCTACTTCTTTTCATTTAATTAAACCAAGGTCTTTTTTGGTCATCATTACCCAGGACACTGTAGGGAAACTATCATCTTAAACATTATACAATATTCCTAGATTTTTCAAAATAATCTGGTCATCCTGCCAAAACTTCTAAGTCTAAAGAAAAAAAAAATCAAAACCTCAGACTTTTCAGCAATATTCTTCCTGGTAGTGTTAGAGTCAATCAAAGATGAGGCCATATCAGTGCAAAATTCTACTTTCAGGTGAAGCACATAGCTCCTTTTTGGCATTGGATGTTTGGGCCACTGGGGTCTTTAATTCAGTGAAAAAAGTTAATCTGTTTATTAGTAAGAATCTGTAAGCTACGAAATCCATAATCTTCCATCACAACATGGCAACAATCATTATCTTTTTCAATTTATGTTTTTGAAGAGCTCTATTTACTTTGTCCACATTTCATCTTAACGTGACTCTGAAATGCTTGGGGACCTTGCTATCCAAGGTGACTGGAGCTGTTGAGTGCCATGCAGCCGAGTTACCTGGTGGGCCCTGTTTTCATGGGGATGTCAGTCTTTCAACAACTTTGAGGTCAGAAGAAAGATGGCTGCATGGTGTACATATGTCAACAACAGAAATCCCACATTAACCCAAGAGAGGCTGGCATGGTTAGCAGTGGTTGCTCACAGAAAATGCAGGAATGAAGGAGCAGGTTTTCGGGGCAGGGGAGCAGGGAACCTAATTAATCCAGTGCCAGGAATGCCAAAAAGCCTATTTAATATCTTTTGCTTTTACTCTTCTAGGCCACCTAGAGGGAGAATTGCTCACAGACACTTAAATTCATTACATTAAAGAGCAAAAAAAACCACACAAAGATTAGTGCATGGGCTGCTCCAAAGGATGAGTCTGCAGTTGTTCTTTCAACCTCTGTTACTATGGTGGTCATGGAAAACACTTCACACATTTTAGACAGACAGACACTAAAAGGGCTGTATTTAATTATTACTTGCTGAGAGATAGTGAGCAACGTCCAAAGACAATGTCATATTTAAAGTTTTAAAGAATCACTAGTGGCTACTGAAAAGAGATGGCCAAATCTAGAACCTGTATGTCTCTGAATTATTCATTTTTTAGTGCAGAAATTCAGTTTCTGAGAGAAAACCACCAAGCACATTCTACCTTCTCCTTATCACCAAATTCATCCTTGTCTTCTTATTCATGGTAATAAAGAATGCATTATGAAAAGCATCACTCGACATTTAGGGAGCTACATTTCAAAAAATGGCCTGATAAAAAAATTTTGAGACTGCGAAGGGCTACAACAGAACTTTTAATCTAATAATTAATGCAGATTAATCATTGACTACATATGCTAACATTTGGAGACATAAATAGCCCAACAGCAAAGAGAAGAGTCCTGGTACCCTGTCCTTCACACAGTGGAGATGAGGTCAGGAGTCTGCCAGTGAAGCTCCTCCTGTACCTCCTTCTCAACTCCCTAAACCTCTAACCCTGCACCAGCACTGGAGGAGGCACTTCAGAACACAGGGGTCCTAGGAGAGCAATGTGGGAGACAATGAATGGATTCTATCTAATCACTCATTTTATTGTATCTCACTGAGGTTTGTAGATGGAAGTAGTTGCTTAAGGTCATGTTTCCCAGGTCTCCTATCATCATCACTGAAAGCATTTGTGGACTGCTTTCTGCTTGGACGACATGATGATACACAGGCACACAGACGGACTTCCTGTAAAGATAGTCGACGAGTCAAACTCTAGCATTGGGATAACCAATGTTAATATTTCCTTCCCAAGAGTCAGTATGGTTCCCAAATAATCACTGGAATGTATTTCCTCTCAAATTTGGATGATGCCAGGTTGTTTTCATTGTCTGTGTATACATTAAATATCTTGATGAAGAGTGGAAAATATAAATCCTTTAGTTTGTACATTGTGTTAGCATTTGACTTGTTCAGGGAAAACCTAGATGCGAACATTAGAAAACTTCTCTCTACAGGTACACCATTTTTTATGGCAGTGAAGTCAAGAGTTGTTTATATTTTATTGCTTCCAAACATCTCACCATAAAAAAATTTCAGACCTATAGAAAAGTATAAGGAATTTTATAATGAACATGAGCATTCCTATCACCTGGATTCTACCATTAACATTTACTTTACTTGCTTTCTCATGAATCTTTCCATCTACTCATCCTACTATCTATCCATCAGTATCATATGTTTTAATGCATTTCAAAGAGGCAGCAGCCAGCAGATAATGCTGTATTTTGAAGGAAAAGAATCTGTCTTCCTACTCCTATAAGGAAAGCTAGAAAAATTTTATTGCTTTTTTTCAAAAATGAAGAACAAACTCATCCTGAATTATGCACACAGATTTCAACAATTCATCCTATGGGCTCTGTAAAAAGTATGCTAAGTTAACTCAAGGTTTTATCTACCTGTATCAACCCTATAGACATTTTCAGTAATCCTCCAGATGTCTGGCTTTATGAAGACTGGGCTGTACGTTATAAATAAGCTCTCTGCTATAGATCAGCAGGAAAAATTACCTGGAATGTTAGCAATAAGTATTTTTTGTTCTTTTGCTTTCTACTCGAGTAGCTTCCTAATTATTCCTTGAGTGTAGAAATAAAGAGATTTCTATGTCTCAATTCCCTCATTCACAAAGTGACTTTTCTTAATACCTGTCATCCAGGTTTGTCATGAGGATCAAATGTGAAAAACAGGAAAACTTTGTAAAGACTAAAGCATGATGCATATCTAAGCTAGCATTATCGTTAGTAATCCTAAGACATCTGCAATACAGCACAGCTGAGGTAACGGTCCGCTCTGTTTCTTGGCTCTTGCAGATCGGTCAGGAAAATTCCAAAGGTTAAAGGGACAGAGAATTGGCAGTTGCCTTCACTCTGCCCATCAGTACGTCATCTTGTCAAGGATCTAGAAGAACCTTGGTGTATGTCACAGAGACTTGTTTTCATTAGTGAAGTGTTTGTTTTGGAAATCATCCCAGCCTTAAAACAGTACTTCCATTAGCTGAGCACAGTACCCATAATTATCCATCTTCTCTGACCAATGCCAAACCATCCTACTTGCTGCATCCCATTTACCTTGGTGGTTCTGGAAAGAGAAGAGCAAAGCACTCGCTCGTGTATGAGAAGATATATAAAATGTTTATTTCTTTGAATAAACAACTACAAATGTACTTTGGGTAGAAATTCCTGCAATAAGATATCATCAGCTGCCACAAATGACAAGTCTAAAGGTGATGGGAACCTGCTGGTCCCAAAGGGAAAATTCTGTTGCACGAATATCTTAATTTTACAAGGTATAAAGTAGTGTAGCTTCCATTTTTGTGTCTGGTTGGACACAAATCAAGAAAGTGGGGAGCAAGGTCAAAGCTAACTAGGGAATCAAGAAAAGATAAAATAAGCAGGGAGGCAAGTTCATCATCAATTATTGTTATTGAGAACCTTCCAGATCTCTGGCACTTTATTTTATGCTTAAGCAGAAGTGAAGTAAAAGATAAATTTGAAATCACCCTGACCCTCAAAAAAGCACATGTTTCATTAAGAGTTGTATAAAGAAAACAATCAGGAGATGGGAAAATTCGAAATTGTAAGCAGATGGAATAGGTTATGTAAAAAAGAGAGAAATAAGCATGGTTTATGCTTTAATTATGTTATACTCAACGCTGAGCATGTTTACAATGTGGACAACATCACAGCAATGCGAAGATCTCTGAGAAGACACATATAGTTGTCCCAAACTGCAAAATACACTCTTCATGTAGGAAAAAGAGAATAAGAGGCAAAGATTGGCTATGCCCATCTAAAGGAGAGCGTTCCCTGGTCTATGAAACCCCCAGTGTGGTGCTGACAGCAAGAACATACCTTAAACATACTTAGAGCATTGCATCAAGCTGCCAAGCTCTATGCTGCTAAACATTCTAAACATGCAAGTGAATCCCCTAATTTGGTTCCATATTTATGAAACAAACTTCTAACAACTTGGCATCCTATATGACACACATACTGTGAGAAAAGCAGCTGCCCAAAGGGCTAAGATTTTGTTGGCCCTGATAGATTTCTCACTGTAGTCATAACAAAAAATCGGGGTGTCTGTGTAAACATACATACATGTGTATACTATACACAAAGTCACACACATACAGATATTCAACATGTATTTTTAAGAGAAATACTGTCAAATCTAAGTATATAGCAATGCAGACTTCTAGCTATTTAAATAACAGTATGTATTCTAACAAAATTTTACCATGCTTTAACTTAGAACCATGTAAATATCTTTACCATACTATTTGGCAATACTGTTTATGCCTTCTATGCAGTCTACCCGCTTTGCTTAACTGCTGATGGCTCCTCATTCGTCTTACCTGACTGCCCAGGGGGAGGGGCACCTAATGATCCTCGTGGCAGACAAAGAAACACAGTCAGAACAGCAGCTCTGTTCCCAGCACATGGTTCAACGGCTATCGGTTTGGGCGCCCCCTGAGAAAGAAAACCCATTTTAAATATATGTAACATGACACTACAATTTTACTTTTCTCCTATCTGTATCAGTCAGCTAAACCGTACATCCCTTGTGGTTGGGGACGTACCATGTTTCATTACTTTAAATAGTTTGATTGAATATGTTATTGTAGTAATATGTAGTTTTTTGTAATGGTGGTCATTAACATTTAGGAAACATTTTTCTTGAGGAATTATATGTGTTGGTACGTATTTTTTTTACAATTTTTGAAAAGCATTCTGCTCTGTTCTTTTTTCTGCTTGTTTTTTAATAGACTTTAGTTTTTAGGCGGGGGGGTTTAGGTTCACAGTAAAATTGAGAGGAGGCTACGGTGATTTCCACACACCCTCCACCCCCACACATGCATTGCCTCCTCCATTATCAATGTCCCTCATTTATTACATTTATTACAAAAAGTGATACATTTATTACACTTGTGAACCCATAATGACACATCACTATCACCCAGAGCCCAATGTTCACATTAGCATATTCACTCTTGATCCTGTACATTCTATAGGTTTGGGCAAACATTTAATGATGTGCATGCACCAGTGGAGTACCCTACAGTGGCAGTTTCACTGTCCTAAAATATCCTTGCTCTGCCTGGTCATCCATCCCTCCCCCTAGTCGCTGGAAACCAGTGATCTTTTCACTCTTTCCATAGTTTTGCCTTTTCTAGAGTGTCAAGTAGTTGGAATTACACAGTACTTGGCTTTTTCAGATTTACTTCTTTCACTTAAAAATATACATTTAAGGTTTCCCCATGGCTTGTCATTTCTTGCTAGCTCACTTCTTTTTAGTACTGAATATTATTCCATTATCTGGATGTACCATGTTTTATTTATCCATTCATCTACTATAGCACATCTTGGTTGCTGCCAAATTTTGGAGTTATGAATAAAGCTGCTATAAACATCCAGGTGCAAATTTTTGTGTCGGTATAAGTTCTCACCTCCTCTGAGTAAATATCAAGGAGTATGACTGCTGGATTGTACAGTACTATGTGTCATCTTAACTCTAAATCCGGGCATAGTGCAAATGCATAATAGCCCTAATTTGAATAAATGAATGTATTTCACCATATTTGATGTACAGTCTGTAAGCCACCAAGTTATATAACTTCTGTTGTTTTTCCACAATGATTTCCTCTCACTAATGATGAACTACAAAACACAGTTTATCTACTTAAATTCTCACAATCCAAAATATTCTGTTGGCATATCTTTAATATCACTTCAGTGAAATAAATATGTAATAATCACTCACCAATGCACTTGTATAAATAATATGACTTTTGGAATAAAATAGAATAAATGAATATATAATGATCATAACAGTAATAGCTGGTATTTTATTAAGTACTTACTATGGATTAAGTGTTCAAGATGCTTCTCAGATATTAACTTATTTAAGTCTTACAACCACCGGTGAAGATGAGAATACTGAAGCAAGATGTTAAAATCTTGCTCAAATTTAGAAAACTAGGAAGTAGCAGGGCTGGGATTTATGCACGGGGACAGGCTGTCTCCTGAGTTCATGTTCTTAACCACACTAAGCAGTTTATCATATTCATGCAAGGACAAGCACACAGGTACTCACACACATTCACATATAAACACACATGCAAGCATACACATGTGGACACACACTCCACGTACATACCGGTATGCACTAACACACACAAGGAATTTGCATTCAAATGCTATGTCACCTTTACAACAATAAGGATACTGAAGCCTAAGAATGGTGGTTTCATCTATTTCACTCAAAAAACTGCAGGTTAGACATGGTTGACATATCAAAGCAACATGTATGCATCAGGGCAAAATTAAATAGAAGGAAAAATAGCATTGCTTTAATTATTAGAACAAAGTATTTGTTTAGTTTTTCTCTGCTGATATTTGAACTTTTCGGAAGAAACAGACGTATGTGGTCATTCACCTAGGATATTTTAGAATACTCCCATTTCCAGAAAGTTTAATGAGGCATTAAAGATAAAATATGCCCCCTTTCATGTAAAACTTAGACTGAAATTTCTGGTGACAACGGTTTTATGTGGTTATAAAGGATTTCTCCTTTATAGCAACATAAATCTCATGTTTTAAAATTATCCTCATACAGTTACATTTTGGAAGTTTTCAATATAAAGGTGAAAGTGGCCATGGTGGTAGAAATAAGGGCATAAAAATGTTCTATGAAAATGCTGTAAGCCATGTTGCAATACTTGTATCAAGTTACATGATCTATGGTTTTAGGCTTTAAAGCTTACATTTAATTTAACAGACTTATTTTTGAAAATGTTAAGTCCAAATCAGCATAAGTACATAGATACTCTCCAATGATGTAAATATTTAAAGAATAGGCTTGTCTCATTCCAAGGCAAAAGGAAAAATACGATGAATGCTTTGAATCATATTTCTAGGCTTCTTATATTTAGTCTAATTTAGTAAATGCAAAGTATATGTAAAGGTCAATTGGTTACAATATATGAAGAGAAAATCAAATACATTCCATTTAAATGATGGCAGTACATTAGAAATACCAAAATGTTTTTTAATATGTCTAAGAGATAATTTATCATTTCTACCATGAGGTGAGGTTTCTTTGTTGTTTGGTTTAAGCTCTTGATGCAATAACTTGCACTTTTTGAAATATCCAAAGTCACATTAAAATACTTGATCACAAAAATTAGAAGAAGTTGATGATTACAACAAAACAAACTAAAACAAAAAACAACCAGTTTAAGAAACGGCTTCTTGGTTGAAGAGATTTGGAAAAACAAGAAACAATTTGAGAGTCTATCAGTTGATTGTGTTGTCAGGCCACCTTTCTGCTGTTTTTAACACTAGAAGAAAAGATTTTGAACATCAAAATGCTGATGCCAAGAGCACCAACTGAGAGGAAAAAATGCTAAAATATAACTGTAAATTTCAGGTGGAAAATGGCTTAATTATTTAATACTTTAAACTTCAGAGACTCAGCAACAGATAGACAGTATAGTAAAATATCTTAACTGTGGAAAAGGAATTATTCTTGTATTTAAGCTACTTTTGTAAAATCTTCCTTAAAATAATTCTCTCTTTTCTACTGCTAATGTACAGGAAATATTCAGAAATTTCATTATATCAATAAATTCTATGAAAGGAGATTATAATTCTATTTTGAAGTCAAATTGGCTTACAACTTTGTCTATTTTTAGCTATACAATATTCATAAAAGGATATTAGCAAAAACATGAATTATTCATTATGTTTAAACTATTAGTGACTAGCACAGCTCTTTGATATTTCTGGCAGGAACTCACATAATTTAAAAAATTATTTCCACAGAATCTGCGGCAAATATCACTTTCCACAAGGAATTTTAAATAAAAGAGATACTTGAAAGCACTTGAATTTTGCAACAGAAGATAGCAAAGCTCCACAAATATCTGTGATACCTTGAGGTTTGCCAGTTGTTTACCAATAAATACATAACCATGAATCAAAATCATTTCACAATCACATAATATGTTCACTGAACTGTATAATTTATTATGCATTTTCCAGGGCCGCCTTTGAAAGAGATAAGGCACAGGTTTGTTTGCCCACAGCACTCAGCCACTATGATTTACTTTTGGCATTTTCATATTTGTTGTACCACATGGCTGTGCCAGAAAACATCACTGACAGTTACGTAATTAGCGGCCCTTGTTTATTAAGCACACGGCGCTTTCACGAAAGACTATTTTGTTCACTCAAGTGTTTTTGAAACTAGTGTACTCATGTTTGCAAGTTGTCTTTGGAGGCAACAATTCTATGTTAAACTCTTTCCATTTTTCAACTATTAAAGACAAGCAAGTTACCAGAAAACTTTCTGGAATCATAAGGATTTTCAAGATTACAGTTGTTACAATTCATTATGACATGTTCTGAAAGTGACTTTTGTGGTTCCAAAGTAGGACCTTCAAACTCAAGTTCCTTCAAGGTTCAGGGTGGTAACTTAATAAGCACTAGCATTTATTAAGTGCTTACAATATGCCTGTGCTATGCTACATGTTTATCTGGTGTAATCCTACCCCATGAGGTAGGGACTATTCCCAGTTACAAATGATGAAACTCAAGTTCAAAGAGTTTAAGTCACGTAACTAAGGTTGCAGACCTGAGGGTGACAAAAACAGGATTTGGAACAAAGTAGTCCACCTTCTGAGCTTGTACGTTGTGGATAAAACTGCGATATTTCCAGAACCTCTCGCCTGGCTTTAGTGCATCTCTATACAATTAGGTGTTTCCAAGGGGGGGGAGAGAAGTAGTCCATCTCCATATCAATAGATTAATTACAATGGCAAGTGATGGCTTATTTGGACCGGAGAGGTTGGCTGGGGGTCTGTTCTTCTGTAGCCTGGTCGAGAGAAACACAGGGGAACAGAAGTGGACTGCTTGTAAGAAATAAACGGTTTTCTCCCACTTTATTTCTCCCTTCGACTGATTTTGGTTTCAAAGGTATTTTGCCCCAGGATTTTCCCCCCAGAGTTATATATGCCCAATCACTATGCATATGGTCTATATTGGGTAAGAAGGCATCTTAACTTCTAGAATAAGACATAAGAAGTGCTGAGTCCTACAGTGAACTGAAATGTGCAAGATTTACTGAAAGGCATTAAATCCCCAAATTTTTGATGCCAAAAGAATATCTCTGGGCCCAATGGTCTGAGGGCTCCAAGATGACATTTCAGGGTTGCCAGCCTCTAGGGTCTGCTTGTCAAACCTCATCTTTTATTCTGCACAAGTTCCATGTTTCTGTCAAACTCGTAAGTGTTCACTATCCTTCAACTTTGCCCAGAGTCTCCAGAATCTGTGCCTTTTTCATTCATAATATTCCTACTGTTTAGGCCTTTTGGTAGGTCTTTAATTTTCCTAAAACCATACAGCCCTCAAAATCAACTCATCCATGAAGACCTCCCTGGTCTGAGGCATTTAGTTTCTCCTTTAGTTTT